ACACACACACACACACACACACACACACACACATGGAGCATAGATGGCACATCCGCAGGCTGATATAATGGATGTGAGAGGATACGACACAAGCAAACGACTCGAACCGACTGTAGCTCACTCATCATCATCAAGCAGGGTGGAAAGGCATAGTGATGAACACATGGACGAAGATTGGATAGGCAGGACATCATCCACATATTAGGCGGGGAAAACCGATAATGAAAGAGGAGAGGTGGGGATGTCATCAACGCAAATGTTCGCTCATGAAGTATCCTAAAATAGCCCCCCAGATTTTTCATGTCTACACACAAGTCATAATTGAATGATAGGAAACCTCAAATAGCGAACTCGCTCCTGCGTGCTGGCAAAGAAGATGAAGACGCTAGTGGATATGTGGTGGATATGAAACGGGCCAAGCGGAGGGAGACGAAAACCGATAATCCTCTACAAGTCACATGAACCTCGTAGTAAATGGTACGAGGTGAGTGCGTAGCCGGGTCCTTCACTCCTCGCAGTCTATCGCTCCGCCTGTAATATCTAACGGAACAGTGGATGCCGTGCAGCACGAGGACCTCAATCTCCAACTCTGCTCACTGCTACAAGCCGATTATTTGATGGACCGAACTGCCGTGCCTGACGCAATCACTCTCGTGCAACGGACACGTCCTGCGATAGCAGGAGCCGGCGAACTCATCGACCAGGGTGTCGTGTGCGCCATCGGATGTTGAGGACGCGTCATCGTCCGACGAATAACCGTGGCTGCTTTCGGCACGAGGCGGCAACGAAGGAAGCGCGTCGTCATCGGCCCCCGCATCCTCGCTATCGACCGGCAGCCCGAAGTCGGCGTCGTCATCGACCGTCTCGAAGATCGGGTCCTCCACGTCACGTTGCTGCAGCATATTACGGGCCCAGTCTCCCAGTCGTCGTGTCCCGAAAACCTCCGCCGCGATGTTGAACTGCCACGATGTGTCCCGTGTGTTGTACACGTGTCGTATCGCGGAGCGGCGACGGTGGGTCACGTTCGTCGGGCATCGGTAAACGGAGCGTACTGGTCTTATCGCTTTGTTCTTGTTCCACTCCAATGCTATGCATCAAACACGCGCCTCATACGACTTAGGGAAGTTTACTCGTTTCGTTGCGTACTTGTTGATCACAGAATGGAAACATTCGTTGTTGAATGTCATCCTGACGCTCGTGTAGTAAGCCATCTTCGTGTTCGATGCGAACTGCTGCAAACAACGAGAAATCGCCAAATGAACTCGACCTCCGTTTTCGTACAAGGCCGCTCGTTCCTGGCCGCCGGCAGCCTTGCATAGGTTCGGCAACTCCTTCTCGCATAAGGAGTGATCCCCACTCCAATGGTTGGCCAAGTGCTGCACGTGTGTGGCCAGCAAATCGCCATCGTCGTCCCCAACGCTCTTTTGTAGCCTGCAAGCGCCATACAACCATTCTTTGGCTTCCTCCGCGGCATTAGAGTGCAGCGTCTCCAACGCATCGATCTCAACAACGTCGTCCGACAATGGTTTGCCTGCTTGATCGGGAAACAGCACACCCCACACCAGTTCGACGAGCTCATCCTTCTTCTTCGTGCCCACTGCCTCCACGCACACGCCTCTCGAGTCGAGCCATTCTTTGAGCTCCTTCTTTGTGAAACACTTCACCTCGCGCATGTGCTCGCATGCGATGATGGCACCTGACTTGACAGTCTTTGTTGCACGAATGGCCTCTCGCAGTCGTTTTATCAATGCCTTCGCCTTGTGCCACATGCACTTTTGCGAGTCGATGTTCATGCGCCGCAGAACCACGCCGACAGCGCCACAATCGTCATGCACGACCTCGGCAATTATCAAGTTTTTCTCATCCTTCAACCGTTGCAAGAGCCTTTCAACACACTGCGTCTCTAGCCGCCATGACGACTCGCCGCCCCTCTCCATCGTTTTCGTGCCCACTAACATCCCAGACTTCAAATCCACCGCCGAAACCGTGCAATGTTGAGCATCACGGGACGAATCATACCTGTCGTCGACCAGAATGACAACCAGATCTCTGGACCGTCGCAAGCGCGCAATGACCCTGTCGAAGCTCCTCTGCGTGACACGCTCGACATGACGCAACCACTGGCGCGAACCTTTCCCTTCATCGCGGAAGAAATTGTAATACATTTTTTTCCTCACCTCCTTCATCCCCACGCCTGACAAGAGGTTGTTTAGTTGGGTATAGGTCAATCCTGCCGTGACAGTGGAGTGGAACAACTGACTTTCAATCCTTGATTCTCTCACCCCCCCAGTTCCCACTTTCGCCAAACTCCAATGCCATGTGCACCCTTTCCCGCATTGAAACTGCAACTTGCAAATATGACAAGGGTATGAAATCTTTTTGATCTCCACCTCAACATTCTTACCGTGCTGCGGACACGTTTTCTCAAACATGCCAAGAATCTGAAGTAGTTTCACCTGTTCAATAAAAACGATATCCGGACGCGCGAGTGCATCCCACCTTGCCATGTGGTCCCGTACAGTCAGCCTCTCGAACATTGGACCAATGTTTGCGTACCCCTCCTTGCCGTCACGCCATCGCAATGCGTTATTCGCAGGTCAACCACCTCGTGACCGTGGCGTGTCGCGCGACGCAGACCCACGACCGCGAGAACCTCCATGTCCGGACGAATGCTCACTCGGGCCGTTCTCCGTCATCATCTCGTCGACGTGAGGGGCACTCCATTCAAGAAGCTGGTCGAACACATTCTCATAAGAAAAACTTTTCTTTTGCACGTCCCCCGAGCTCTTTGCAATTGCTGTGAATTTCTTGGTCAGCGCACTTGCAAGCGAACTAAGAAGCACTTGCTGGTCGCGTCTACAACGCACCCATCTCGGATCCCCCGTGCGAGGAGTGCTAGACGTGCTGCGAGGCGTAGCTGGCGAGGGACTCATCCCAACGTCGCTGTCATTCGGCGTCGGCACAGCATCGCGACCAGGGGCCGGCGACACGCAGTCGATTGACGCACCCCGCATTTGTGCGGCCGTCCGCTGTCGATCTGCTGCCGCGATAGAAGGTCGCAATTGCGACGCACCTCCGATCGGAAGACTATGATCAAAGTCCTCGTCTGAAGAGGCAAACAAAGGAGGCTGGGGGGGGGGCGCAAAGGACCCCCACCCCCGTACCGTGAGAACCGAAACAAGCGCTCGCCGGGGCAGGATAAGCTGTCGGCGCGCTTTCGGTCAGACGAAGGCGAACAGTGTCATGCACCGGAGAAGCGAACAAAGGAGGGCGAGGAATTGACGAAGCAGATCCCCCCACTGTACCTTGGACAGCGGAAGCCGCGTATTCCACCGCTCGACCCCCTCCACCAAGCCGTGCGTCGAAACCGGTGCGCGGCGTGGGCAACGTCGCAGCTAAAGACCCCATTGCCGACGACACAGGTGGACAAAGGGGCGACACAGATGACAACACAAAGGTAGACGAAGAGGGATTCCCGAAAAACGATGGGAGGGGAGGAATAGCGGCGATCGCACTGTGCAATTGACTCGGGAGCCGAGTTTGTATCACGGTTGTCGCATTCGACAACGAAGGAAACGGGAGTGCCGCCATCCGGTCGTCCAAACGTTGCCTGGTCGCCAGTCGGGCCCGAATTGCATCGCTTCGACTGCGTCCACGGGGATCCAAAATCTTTTGGCGCCGGCCGCGCGATATGTCATGGTACACAGGCGATCCTTGCTGCGACGAGCGCGATGGCGAGGGCTACGCAAACTCCGGAGGAGTTGGAAGCAATGCAGATTGCGGCGATGCCGTTGGCCGTGCAGGAGAACGTTGGTGTTCCATGTTCACGCGTAACACTATCTCATAGAAGACCTACACAGGTGGAGGCACAATTGCACGAACCAGAAGCCACATTACAATGGCCACCACAAAACGAAACCGGGTACAAACCCGAGGCACCTGCGATATATACATCGTAAAGCTAAGGCAAATCGGTGAACCGTGCGCAGAGGTCGGGTAGAGGACAACACACAATGGCCTGTGAATATATATATATATATATATATATATATATATATATATATATATATATATATATATATATATATATATATATTCAGGATCACCAGCCCGTACGTACGGATGTCCCCGGGCAGACCGTACGTACGTAGGGGTGTTCGGGGTCCTGTACGGGGCCTTGAACCCGACGGCGTTTGGCCCCCGCGAGAACTTATTTCGGGGCCTAAGAATTTTTATTTTTTTTTGAATTTTTTTTGTAAGTTCTCTATGATGTGAAGTAGAAGCCTATAAATTTTCAAATCATTCAAATTAGCCTCATAAGAATTAAAAATCGCCAAAGATGGCGGTGTCAAAACGTGCTCGCCCACATTTTTTTTCACTTTTTACTTTTTGTTTTCACTTTAGTTCGGGGTCTAAACAATTTTATGTTTTTTTGAAAATTTTTTAGTGGGTTTTCTATTATGTGAAACACACATCTGTTAATTTTCAAGGCATTAAGCTCTGCCAAACAAAAATGAAAAATCGCGAAAGATGGCGGTGTCGAAAACATGCTCGCGCACTCACTAAATTTAATTCTCTTTTTATTTTTATTGCTTTTTATTTTTAGTATTTGTTCTCCGTATTTTATTTTTACTTCAAATTTGGTAAGGATATTGGACATAATGGTCAGGCAAATCTTGTTAAATTTATTTTTCTCCATAACATATCTTTTTTCAGGTTTTTTTTAT